AAAACCCTGTCTCAAAAAAAAAAAAAAAAAAAAAAAGAAGAGGGAAAGAGGGAAAAATGTTTGCTTTTCAACGTATACACTTCTGTATCTTTTTATTTTAAAATGTCTTTTTCTTTTAAGCTCTGTTGGACTTAATTCTGTACCTTTTTAAACCATGACTACTATTTTTCCATTTCTTCATTTCAACAATTTTTATTTAAAGAATGTAACAGGCAATACTTTCATACAGTTTTAAATTAATAAACCACAAAACCAACATGTAATCTATAGCAAGGTTCTCTTCTCTGTAGGCAATAAATCTTACTGGTTTCTTCCAGAGATACTATGCATAATGCAGAAGTCACTACATATACATGCATTGCATATATGTATGCACACACATATACATCTACACACACATGCTTTTCTTCTTCCCTGTTTTATACAAATGGGGAATACACGATGTACTTTATTTTGCATCTTGCTTTTTTTTTTTTTTTTTAGATGGAGTCTCACTCTGTCATCCAGGCTGCAGTGCAGTGGACTGATCTTGGCTTATTGCAACCTGTACCTACCAGGTTCAAGAAATTCTTCTGCCTCAGCCTCCCAAGTAGCTGGAAATGCAGGCGCCTTCCACCACGCCTGGCTAATTTTTGTATTTTTAGTAAAGACGGGGTTTCAACATGTTGGCCAGGCTGGTCTTGAACTCCAGACCTCATGATCTGCCCGCCTCGGCCTCCAAGTGCTGGGATTACAGATGTGAGCCACTGCGCCCGGCCCGCATCTTGCTTTTTATATTAAGTAATATGGCTTACAGATTTCTCTATTTAGCATAAATTTTTTTTTTCCGGCTGCAGAGTAGTCAATTATATGCAAATATGTACAATTTAGTTATCCAGTCCCTTACTGGACTTTCAGGACCTTTCACAATGTTTACTATTACAAAAAACACTGTAGTGAATAACCTTATCTAGTCATCATTTCAAACATTTAAAAGTATATTGGTGAAATAATTTCCAGACAAAAAAATGAATTCAAAGGACATGTGCATTTAAAATTTTGAATGATACTACCAGGTTGCTGTCTACAAATTTTACTCCCACTAGCAAAGAGTGACTTTTTACCTATTTCCTTAACTGATTAGATAAAAGTATCTTTTTTTTTTTTTTTTTGAGACAGAGTCTCACTCTGCCGCCCAGGTGTAGTGCAGTGACATGATCTCAGTTTATCATAACCTCCACCTCCTGCGTTTAAGCGATTCTCGTGCCTCAGCCTCCCAAGTAGCTAGGATTATAGGCACAGTGCCACCATACTTAGCTAATTTTTTTTTTTTTTTTTGAGATGGAGTCTCGCTCTGTCACCCAGGCTGGAATGCAGTGGTGTGATCTCGACTCACGTCCACCTCTGGGGTTCAAGAAATTCTCCTGCCTCAGCCTCATGAGTAGTTGGGACTACAGGTACCCGCCACCCCAACCTGCTAATTTTTGCATTTTTAGTAGAGACGGGGTTTCGCCATGTTGGCCAGGATGGTCTCATTCTCCTGACCTCATGATCCACCTGCCATGGCCTCCCAAAGTGCGGGGATTATAGGTGTGAGCCACTGCGCCTGGCCAATTTTTTGTATTTTTAAAGTAGAGACAGGGTTTCACCATTTGGTCAGGCTGGTCTCGAACTCCTGACCTCAGCTGATCCAGCCGCCTTGGCCTCCCAAACTGCTTGGATTATAGGCATGAGTCACCATGCCTGGCCAAAAATATCTCAATATAGTTAAATTTATACTTATGATAAATAAAAAACCCCTTTTCATTTGTTAAAGAGCTACTGGTATTGGCTTTTCTATGTAATAATATTATAATAAGAAAAATGAATTTAATCAAAAAACTAAAGACTTGCTTTCTATTGTTTTAAATTAGTTAATAAATATAAGGATTTATGTATTATATGGTTTCATCACTATTAAAACTATAAACTAGGCTGGGTGCAGTGGCTCATGCCTATAATTCCAACACTTTAGGAGGCCGAGGCGGGCGAATCACGAGGTCAAGAGTTTGAAACCAGCCGGGCCGAATGGTGAAACCCCATCTCTACTAAAAATAGGAAAAATTAGCTGGGTGTAGTGGCAGGTGCCTGTAATACCAGCTACTCCAGAGGCTAAGGCAGGAGAAGCACATGAACTTGGGAGGCGGAGGTTACAGTGAGCTGAGACATGCCACTACACTCCAGCCGGGGCAACAGAGTTGAGAATTTGTCTGGGAAAAAACAAACAAACAAACAAAAAACCTATAAACTGTACAATGGCCATATTAATCAGATATAGCAGTATACTAAATTCCACAAAGCACTTGTTTTCTGAATTAATTCTACGTATTCCATAAAAGAAACACAAAAACAAGTAACAAAAATATTAACATAGCTCTTTAAACATAATTTGAATATTACTTACTGTGTCAAGAGACTTTCTCCTGCTTCTGTTTCTAAAAATAAAATAAAAATTAAATTTGTCCAAGGACACACTGATAAAGCATTAGAAAAATTACTTAAGGACATTAACAACAATGTTTTAAAAAATTATTAACTGGCAGGCACGGTGGCTCACACCTGTAATCCTAGTACTTTGGGTGACTTGAGGCCATGAGTTGGAGACCAGCTTGGCCAACATGGTGAAACCTTGCCTCTATTAAAAATACAAAAATCAGCCGGGCATGGTGGTTCATGCCTGTAATCCCAGCTACCAGGGAAGCTGAGGCAGGAGAATCAATTGAACCCAGGAGGCAGAGGTTGCAGTGAGCCAAGATCTTGCCATTGCACTCCAGCCTGGGGGACAAGAGAGAAACTCTGTCTCAAAAAAAACAAAAGGCCTGGGTGCAGTGGCTCACACCTGTAATCCCAAACACACTTCAGGAGGCCGAGGCAGGCACTTAACGAGGCTAAGAGATCGAGACCACCCTGGCCAACACGATGAAACCCCTTCTCTTCTAAAACTACAAAAATTAGCTGGGCGTGGTGGCACATGCCTGTAGTCCCAGCTACTCGGGAGGCTGAGGCAGGAGAATTGCTTGAACCCGAGAGGTGGAGGTTGCAGTGAGCTGAGATCAAGCCACTGCACTCCAGTCTGGTGACAGAGAAAGACTCTGTCTCAAAAAAAAAAAAAAAAAAAAAATTATTAACTATCCACTCTACTCTATACCCCCAAGACTCAAGGTATACTTTTTTGTTTTTGAGACAGGGTCTCGCCTTGTTGCCCAGGCTGTAGTGCAGTGGTGTAATCACTGCAGTCTCAATCTCGTAGGATCAAGTGATCTTCTCACCTCAGCCTCCGCAAGTAGTTGAGACCACAGGTGTGTACCACCACACCTGGCTAATTTTTTATTTTTTGTAGAGACGGGGTTTCACCATGTTGTCCAGGTTGGTCTTGAACTCCTAGGCTCAAGTGATCCTCCCACCTCAACCTCCCAAAGTGTTGGGATCACAGGTGTGAGCCACTATGCGTGGCCCATCATATACTTTTTAAGCAATAAGATAGACAATAAGTTATATCAGTTGTCTGGTTAGATAGCCACAGCAAAATTTTAAAGAAAGCAGATTTAGCGGCCGGGCGCGGTGGCTCAAGCCTGTAATCCCAGCACTTTGGGAGGCCGAGGCGGGTGGATCACGAGGTCAAGAGATCGAGACCATCCTGGTCAACATGGTGAAACCCCGTCTCTACTAAAAATACAAAAAATCAGCTGGGCATGGTGGCGTGTGCCTGTAATCCCAGCTACTCAGGAGGCTGAGGCAGGAGAATTGCCTGAACCCAGGAGGCGGAGGTTGCGGTGAGCCGAGATCGTGCCATTGCACTCCAGCCTGGGTAACAAGAGCGAAACTCCGTCTCAAAAAAAAAAAAAAAAAAAAAAAAGAAAGCAGATTTAGCAGGAATTACAGTAACACACTTACCTGCCATTTCTGACTTTCTCACTATTTCCATATGAGACTCTGTCTGGAATACCCTAGAAAAGAAAATAAAGATTATTGAAAATCTGCAATTTGTAATCTTTTTTTGAGACAAAGTCTTGCTCTGTCAGTCGGGATGGAGTGCAGCAGCATGATTTTGGCTCACTGCAACCTCCGCCTCCTGGGTTCAAGCAATTTTCCTGCTTCAGCCTCCCAAGTAGCTGGGATTACAGGTGCACGCAACCATGTCCGGCTAAGTTTTATATTTTTTCTAGTAAGATGGGGTTTCACCATGTTGGCCAGGCTGGTCTCGAACTCCTAATCTTGTGATCTGCCCGTCTCAGCCTCCCAAAATGCTGGAATTACAGGCTTGAGCCATTGACTCAACACAGACTATAAATTAACACTTATTTATAGGTAAAGATAACACTTTGATTTTAGCTGCCTCTTTGCTATTACCATATACTCTTAATAATTCAAATGCCAAAATTAGTTTACTACAATAAAATCTATCATAGTTTTGTTTTTGTTTTTAAACAGGGTCTCACTTTGTTGCCCAGGCTAGATTGCAATGGTGCAATCACAGCTCACTGTAGCCTCAATCTCCCAGGCTAAAGCGATCATCCCACCTCCATCTCCCAAGAAGACTCACCAACATACCTGGCTAATTTTTTTGATTTTTAGTAGAGACAAGGCTGTTATAATTTACTTACTTATTTATTTACTTTTTTGAGACAGAGTCTTGCTGTCTCACCAGGTGCCAGGCTGGAGTACAGTGGGAGGACCTTGGCTCACTGCAACTTCCACCTCCCGAGTTCAAGCAATTCTTCTGCCTCAGCCTCCCAAGTAGCTGGGACTACAGGCGCACCACGCCCAGCTAATTTTTGTATTTTTAGTAGAGACAGGGTTTCACCATGTTGGCCAGGATGGTCTTGATCTCTTGACCTCGTGATCCGCCTGCCTTGGCCTTCCAAAGTGCTGGGATTACAGGCGTGAGCCACCAACCCTGGCCTTATTTTTAAATTTTTTTTTTTTTTGAGACGGAGTCTCACTCTGTCACCCAGGCTGGAGTGCAATGGAGCAATCTTGGCTCACTGCAACCTCTGCCACCCAGGCTCAAGCAATTCTCTTGCCTCAACCTCCTGAGTAGCTGGGATTACAGGCACGTGTCACCGTGCCCAGCCAATTTTTCTATTTTTAGTAGAGATGGGGTTTCAACATCTTGGCCAGCCTGGTCTTGAACGCCTGACCTCGTGATCCACCTGCCTCAGCCTCCCAAAGTGATGGCATTACAGGCGTAAGCCACTGCGCCCGGCCCTATTTTTTAATTTTTAACTAAGATTCTGAGCCATTTGTTACTGCAGAGGTTATAGTTTTTAAATGAGCTCTTAGTAATTATTTTTTCTTTCAATAACCTAAAATATTAATTTAATTCAACAAGTATTTATTAAACACTCACTATATACCTGCTACTATACTAGAATCTGGGATACAAACACATGATCCTTCACTCAAGGGGCTTCCACTATAAGTACAGAGGTGGAACAGTGATTATAAACATTATTTCACTGGCTTTTGTTATTAACAGGTAAGGTACCATAGCATGGACTCCACAGGAAAGGATCCCTTTTCACTGGGATGAGTAAGAATAAGCTTTGTCGAGCATTTGACACCTGCCTTGAATCTGACCAGTTAATTCTAATTCTGCTAATATGAAGTATCACTCACTACATAGAGGCTATTCTTTTTCCTTTTTTGCGACAGGTCTCACTCTTGCCCAGGTTGGAGTGTAATGACACTAGTATGGCTCACTGCAGCCCGGAATTCCTGAGCTGAAGCAATCCTCTGGCCTCAGCCTCCCAAATATCTGGGACTACAGGCGCAAGCCATCATGCCTGGCTAATTTTTATTTTTTTGGCAGAGATGGGATCTTGCTAAGTTGCTCAGGCTGGCCTCAAACCATTGGCCTCAAGCAATCCTCTGGCTTTGACCTCCCAAAGTGCTGGGATAATAGACATGAGCCACCACACCTGGCCCCTAGTACAATGCTAAACAATAGTTGAGCCGGGCATGGTGGCTCAAGCCTGTAATCCCAGCACTTTGGGAGGCTGAGGCGGGTGGATCACGAGGTCAAGAGATCGAGACCATCCTGGTCAGCATGGTGAAACCCCGTCTCTACTAAAAATACAAAAAAAATTAGCTGGGCATGGTGGTGCGTGCCTGTAATCCCAGCTACTCAGGAGGCTGAGGCAGGAGAATTGCCTGAACCCAGGAGGCGGAGGTTGTGGTGAGCCGAGATCGCGCCATTGCACTCCAGCCTGGGTAACAAGAGCGAAACTCCGTCTCAAACAAAACAAAACAAAACAAAACAAAACAAACAAAAAAAAAAACAATAGTTGAATATCATTGTTTTGTTCCTGACTTTAGAGGGAATTTTTTCATTGTTTCTCTCTTAAACATAATACTGAATAACCTTTTAAGTAACAACTAATGTTTAATCAAAACAGTGAATCGAGTCAGTACCAATACATTTGGTTTGATACATAGAATACTAGCAGTACCTGTAATATTTTAGTTATTTCTGCTTTCAACTTACTTTATAGTATCTGCAAAGCTGACTCGACGTGAATTTTTCTTATTTCTCAAAGCATTGGATTCCTAAGGGCAGAGAATATATGCTGTAAGTCTTAGAAATATCACAGTGAATTACATCTCAGAGTATTATAGACAGAGATCAACTCCTTTTTTTTTTTTTTTTTTTGCCTTGAGACAGAGTTTTGTTTTGTCACCCAGGCTGGAGTGCAATAACTCAATCTCAGCTCAATGAAACCTCTGCTTCCCCGGTTCAAGCAACTCTCATGTCTCAACTTCCCAAGTAGCTGGGATTACAGGAGTATGCCACCATACCCAGCTAATTTTTTGTATTTTTAGTAGAGACAGGGTTTCACCATGTAGGCCAGGCTGGTCTCGAACTGACCTCAAGTGATCCTCCCACCTTCACCTCCCAAAGTGAGAAACTGCCCCTGGCCAGAGATCAAGTCTTATTCTGAATTACTGCTTCACATGTTGTACTATGTGTCAGAATTTCCTTCTTTTTTTCAAGGCTGAATAATATTTCACTTTAAGTATATATTATCACATTTTGTTTATCCATTCATCCATCAATGGGCACTTGAGTTGCTTCCACCTTCTGGCTACTGTGATTAATGCTGCTACGAACATGGGTGTACAAATAAATATCTCTTTGAAACTCTCCTTTCAACTCTTTTAGATATATTCTCCTTTCAATTCTTTTCAAATCCAGAAGTGGAATTGTTGGATCATATGGTACTTCTATTTCCAATTTTTTGAGAATTGCCGTACTGTTTTCAATAGCAGCTGTACCATTTTGTATCCTCACCAACAAAGCACAAGGCTTCCAATTTCTCTGCATCCTCATCAACACTTGTTATTGTCTGTCTTTTTTTTCTTTTTGAGAGGGAGTCTCACTCTGTCACCCAGGCTAGAGTGCACTGGTGTGATGTCGGGTCACTACAACCTCCACTTCCTGGGTTCAAGCAATTCTCCTGCCTCACCCTCCTAAGTAGGTAGTATTACAGGTGTGCAACACTGTGCCTGGCTAATTTTTGTATTTTTAGTAGAGACAGGGTTTCACCATCTTGGTCAGACTGGTCTCGATCTCCTGACCTCATGATCCGCCTGCCTAGGCATCCCCAAATGCTAGAATTACAGGTGTGAGCCATCTGTTTTTTATGTTAGCTATCCTAATGGGTAGTAGTGAGGTGGTATCTCATTGTGGTTTTGATTTGTATTTCCCTAATGGCCAATGATGTTGAGCATCTTTTCATTGGAATATACTATTTTTACTTTCCTTCCCCACCTTCCTTAACAAGAGCAAACATTTCTACTCACATAAATACGACACACAAACACCAAAAGACATTAAGGATGAACTTGCTGTTTTGTTTTTTTTTTCTTTTTTTTTTTTTTTTCACCGTTGCCCAGGCTGGATGGAGTGCACTGGCGTGGTCTTGGCTTACTGCAACTTTCGCCTCCCAGATACAAGTGATTCTCTACCTCATCCTCCCGATTAACTGGGATTACAGGCACCTGCCACAACTCCCACCTAATTTTTTTTGTGTTTTTAGTAGAGATGGGATTTCACCATGTTGGCCAGGCTGGTCTTGAACTCCTGACCTTGTGATCCACCTGCCTCGGCCTCCCAAAGTGCTCGGATTACAGGCGTGAGCCACTAAGCCCGGCCCAAGCTTGCTGTTAAGTAAAAACATAAAATAATAATAATAAATCAAAAGACAGAAACAAACAAAATCCACAGAGAACTGTACTAATTCTGAATACCTGACCATAAGTCTTATTGTAATAATGAATCGGGAATGGTCCCTCCCCACCCGGCCATTCCTCCCTTCCTTTCTTTCCTCTCTTTCTCTCCCTGTTTCCTTTTTCTTGCTGATTTTATGCAAACGGCTAGCATTCTCATTGCTCTTTTTTTCAGGTTTAATCCTTATTTTAATAAAGTTTTCAAGCAAAAAAAAAAAAAAAAAATCGGGAATGGTATCACCTCTGCATCAAAGCAGTGTACCTGGTTAAGGCCCCAGAAGACACTACAGGTAGTAGCCTTAAGCTTAACATGACGATTATAATACTGACATGGGAAAAACACTGGGACTAACAGAGAATAATATATTTCTTACTAAAAAAAAGAAAACTGATCTTCTCATAGTTCATAGTGTGATTATAGGGTTTTCACATACATGTGTGAGATGTGCTTTCCTCAAATTTTGTTACAATGCTGTCATATTATACATGTGACATGAAAAAAGAAAGGCTCGACACAGTGGCTCATGCCTGTAATACCCATACTTCGGGAGGCCTAGGAAGGCTCATTTGAGCCCAGAAGTTCAAAACCAGCCTGGTCAACATAGCAGGACCCTGTCTGTACTAAAAAAAATAAAACTGTTTTAAAGGGTTGGGCACAGTGGCTGACGCCTGTAATCCCAACACTTTGGAAGACCAAGGTGGGTGGATTGCTTGAGCCCAGGAGTTCAAGATGAGCATGGACAACACGGCAAAACCCCGTCTCCACAAAAAATACAAAAATTAGTCAAGCATGGTGGCACATTCCTGTAGTTCCAGCCACTCAGGAGGTTGAGGTGGGAGGATCTCTTGAGAACAGGAGGAGGAGGTTTCAGTAAGCCATGATCACACCATTGCACTACAGTCTGGGCAACAGAGTGAGACCCCGTCTCTAAATAAATAAATAAATAAATAGCCAGGTATGGTAGCATTCGCCGTAGTCCCAGCCACTCAGGAGGCTGATGCGGGGAAGATTGGTTGAGCCCAGGAATTCAGGGCTGCAGGGAGTTATGATTGTGCCATTGCACTCCAACCTGGGTAACAGAGGGAGATACCATTTCTAGGAAAAAAAAAAAAAGAAAAAAGAAAAATAATGAATACCAGTATATTCAAGTGTTTGGATTTTAACCTAAAAGCCATGGGATGCTTACACATTCAACTTGTAATCATTTATGATATTGCCTCTTCATATAGCTAATAAAGTTCCTGACTTACAAGTCATCACTGAAAATAGTCATCTATCAAATATTTGCACTACAGACTTACCTGAACTGCTTCATTCCCACCTCTGAGGTCCTGAAGAGGACTTCTTGGGGGTTTCAAAATCTAGGTAAACAATTAGAATTATTCAAAAAAAATCTGGCATATGCATTAAGAATCAGTTTATTTCAAGTTATAGATAGAAAGCCAAAATTTTCATAAAAACCTCTGAAACTCCTCAAATTCATTCTTCTCAATGTTATGCTGTGTGGCAGATTTAAGTAATAGACATCTATTCCCTTCTACCTGGCCATCCGCCCCTATTATTTTACCCATTCTCATCCCATGTGGTCTGAGTGAACTCCACACCAACTCTAGGGTAAAACACATAGCCCTATCTAGAACAATCTGATATTCTCTTGTCAATGATGATTGGTTCAGGAATGAGGACTTGACCCACATCAAGATAATCAAGCTAACATGATTCAGTTCCAAGTCGTTTCTGTATGCGGAAAGATAACTCACCATTTTTCACATAGGACTTGAGCCTGGAAGTAAGAGAGCTAAACGTACCACAGTAATCACGGGAAAAGAATCTATCTGCTGAAGATTACCCAGAGAAAGCACTAAGAGTAGAAAAAGACAAAGGAAATCCTAGTACTGTTGTCATTGTTGGAACTGCTGGCCAGTAAGTTGTGCCTAAAGCCATCCCTTCTTTGGATTTTTTAGTCTCATAACCCAATACATCTTGTGCTTAAAGCAGTTTGGGCAGGGCACAGTGGCTCACACCTGTAATCCCAGCACTTTGGGAGGCTGAGGTGGGAGGATCACTTGAGGCCAGGAGTTTGAGAACAGCCTGGGCAACAGTGCGAAACCCCGTATCTTCTAAAAATACAAAAATTAGCCATGTGTGGTGGTGCATGCTTGTAATTCCAACTACTTGGGTGGCTGAAACACAAGAATCGCTTGAACCCAGGAGGTGGAGGTTATAGTGTGCCGAGACTGTGCCACTGCACTCCAGTATGGGCAACAGAGTGAAACTGTCTCAAAAAACAAAAGCAGTTTGGGTTGGATTTTTGTCTGTTACAACAGCTTTGTACAAGTTAAACATATATTTTAAACAGCTTTATTGGAAGTATAACATATACTATAAAATTCATTAAATTACTAAAAAAATTCATAAAGTATGAATTTTAGTATGTTTACAGAATTGTATAACCATGTTAAATATTTAAGTCTTTATCCAGAGAGCAACAGGAAGCCACTGAGGGTAGGATGGTGAAGCCACAGTCAAAACTACCATGATATATAGTTATTAAATAAAAACTGATAATTATTAATTCAAGTAAGTCTTACTGAAGAATGCTGTCTTCTAACAGGTCTCTCTATATTGTCACTGAAAAAGGAAAAAACAACTTAAACATACATTGATAAAAAACTGAATTCCCAAAGCCATCATCACAGCACCCCTTACATGCTTTCAAACTGGTCACCACTTTCACTGAGAGAGAGATTCCCATTCAGGCAAGCAAAATTTATATTACAAAACTTTAAAATCAGTTAGTAATTCAGTGTTTTAAAATGCATATTATGTACTACAAGACTATCACCTGAATAATAATCAGTACAACATAATTTACCATATGTATAGAGGTATAATAATAAGATAAATAGGCTGTAGTTTTGGTTTTACTACTATATGATTTTTAGACCAGGTTTTGAAAATTCAAATGCCTATGAGGCTAACAAACAGGTAATTTTTTAGAAGTAAGAAAAATAGGTAGTGTGAGATTATAATGACCTAAAGAATTCCTGTCTCACCTAAAGGTCAGTCATTGCTCTGCTGTGGTTAGTTGCTGCCAAACAATAATAGGAGTCCAATGATGCCACACTTGATTTTTCAAGAGAAGCTGAAAACCCAACTGTTGTACAAAATTTTAAGATTTTGAAATTTTGGCAACTAATCCAAATTAAAAAACGTGTGTAGGCCAAATCCAGCCACGGTTGCCAACAACTATAGTTCCAGCTATTCAGGAGGCTGTGGCAGGAGAATCACTTGGGCCCAGGAGTCCAAATCTAGCTTGGGCAAGACACAGTCTCTTAAAAAACAATGGCCTGGCCGGGCGCGGTGGCTCAAGCCTGTAATCCCAGCACTTTGGGAGGCTGAGGCGGGTGGATCACGAGGTCAAGAGATCGAGACCATCCTGGTCAACATGGTGAAACCCCGTCTCTACTAAAAATACAAAAAATTAGCTGGGCATGGTGGTGCGTGCCTGTAATCCCAGCTACTCAGGAGGCTGAGGCAGAATTGCCTGAACCCAGGAGGCAGAGGTTGCGGTGAGCCCAGGTCGCGCCATTACACTCCAGCCTGGGTAACAAGAGTGAAACTCCGTCTCAAAAATAAAAAAAAGATGGTAACAAAAAAACAACGACCAAAAAATGCTATGTGTAAGCCAACAACTTATGACTGCAAACTGCAAACAAGCCATCAGATTGTAATGGCAATTTTAGACAAATCATTTTATCTTCCTGGTCTTCAATTTTCTCATCCTTACATGAAGAGATGGGAGGTAGTATCTAAAGTCCCTCTCAGATTTGACTCTAGATGAGATGATGATGATGATTTTTGAGACAGACTCTTGAGGTAGGAGTCAGAACTTGACTTCAAGGTGGGGCTAGGACACAGGACCAAATTGAAGACTAGCTAAACAGGTCCGGGGCAGAAGCGCCTCCCCACAAGACACGCCCACCAGTGTGTCTTGTCAGTTTACCACTGCTACAGCAAAAACCTGCCCAGCAGTCACCTGCCCTTTCCATGGCAATGACCTGACAACCTGGAAGTTACCACCCTCATTGTAAAAATTTCTGCATAAAACACCCCTTAATTTGCATATCGTTAAAAGTGGGTATAAATGAGTGCAGAACTGCCTCTGAGCACTACGTATAGGGTAGCCCTGCTCCGCAAGGAGCTTTACCTGTGCTGCTGCTTTATACTAACACTTCAATAAAAGTACTGTATAGCACCACTTGCTGGCCCATTAATTCTTTCCTGGGTAAAGCCAAACACCCTCCCTGGCTGCTAAAGCCAAAAGCGCTCCATTTATAAAATTTTATTTTTTGGGGGGAGTGGGGGTTTAAAAAAATTTTTTTTGTTTTTTGTAGAGATGGGGTAGAGGTTGCCCATCTTACTATGTTGCCCAGGCAGGTCTCAAATTACTGGGCTTAAGATATCCTCCCACCTAAACCTCTCAAAGTGCTGGGATTACAGGTGTAATCCACCGTGCTCAGAGTAGATGAGTCTATATAAAGATACGGCAATGGCAAGGGGAGCTATGAGTCTGTAACATCTACTTCTTATTATTTTTTTTTTTTTGAGAGGGAGTCTCTATTGCCAGAATGGAGTGCAGTGGCACGATCTTGGCTTACTGCAACCTCCATCTCTCGGGTTCAAGGGATGCTCCTGCCTCAGTCTCCCTTGTGCCACCACATGCAGCTAATTTTTGTATTTTTAGTAGAGATGGGATTTCACCATGCTGAAAAGGATGGACATCTACTTCTTTTTCTTGCAACACAATGGAAAAAGATCTCAGAAGTTATGGACAGGTCTTACTAGTTAAAAAAAATATCTTTCTCTGATAGAACATTTTTAACTGCATTAAATGAACTTACTTTTCTTCACCAGCCTCTGAAGACACCCCATCCATTTTTGAAGAAAACTCTTCTGTAACAAATATACAATATAAGAAAAGGTGAGAAAAAAGGAAGAGCAACTACAATCTATGAAGAGATTAAGAGTACAGTTGATCATGGTGAAACCCCGTCTCTACTAAAAAAAATATAAAAATTAGCTGGTCGTGGTGGCGCACACCTGTAGTCCCAGCTACTTGGGAGGCCGAGGCAGGAGAATTGCTTGAACCCAGGAGGCGGAGGTTACCGTAAGCTGAGATCATGCCACTGCACTCCAGCCTGGCACCTGGCACCTGACGACAGAGCAAGACTCTGTCTCAAAAAAAAAAAAGAATACAGTGGTGACTTCAGGGTTACTTTCTGAGAGAAGACCAAAAACGGGAAGGAAAAAACTATACTTATGAGGATATAAAACATGATTCATTTTAAGGAGTTTAAATCACTATTATAATTAATATTGCTGGAAAATTCTCATACTCAAAATAAAATCAGTGATTAACTTTGATCAGGATGATAGGGACTTACTGGCTCAAATAAAAATTTGGCCTAGCTTCTAAGAGTTTGCATATTATCTAATAATCCACTCCCAAAAAGGACAGCAATTAGGTCAGTGGTCCCCAACCTTTCCTGAACCAGGGAGTGGTTTTGTGGAAGACTATTTTCCCACAGACCATGAGGGTGTGGTGGGGGATGGTTTCTGGATGAAACTGTTCCACTTCAGGTCATCAGGCATTAGACTCTCATAAGGAGCCCACAAAGTAGATCTCTTACGTGCGCAGTTCACAATAGGGTTTGTGCTCCTGTGAGACTCTAATGCGACTGCTATCCAACAGAGGCCGGAGCTCAGGCACTAATGCTCGCCTGCTGCTGACCTACTGCTGTGCCACCCAGTCAGTGGACCTATACTGTTCTGTGGCCCGGGGGGCTGGAGACATCTGAATTAGATATCTAAATACAGTGCATTTGCATCATATGTATATTTATCCGAGGAAAAGTCAACTTTAAGTACTCAGCAAAAAAAAAAAAAAAAATTATTATTATTTTTTGAGACGGAGTCTCCTCTGTCACCCAGGCTGTAGTGCAATGGCACGATCTTGGCTCACTGCAGCCTCCACCTCCTGGGTTCAAGCAATTCTCCCGCCTCAGCCTCCCGAGTAGCAGGGATTACAGACGCACACCACCATGCCTAGCTAGTTTTTGTATTTTCAGTGGAGAAGAGGTTTCACCTTGTGGTCCAGGCTGGTCTGGAACTCCTAACCTCAGGTGATCCATCCACCTTAGCCTCCCAAAGTGCTGAGATTACAGGGTTGAGCCACCGCACCCGGCCAAAAAATTTGAGACATGAAAATAACATCTTTTTTTTTCTTTTTTTTGATGGGGTTTCACCATGTTGGTCTTGAACTCCCGACCTCAGGTGATCCGCCCTCCTTGGCCTCCAAAGTGCTTGGATTACAGGTGTGAGCCACCATGCCTGGCCAAAAATAACATCTTATTAGTGCAGCTGATAATGCTTTAAAAAATTTCACAGGGCCGGGTGTGGTGGCTCAAGCCTGTAATCCCAGCAATTTGGGAGGCCGAGGCGGGTGGATCACGAGGTCAAGAGATCAAGACCATCCTGGTCAACATGGTGAAACCCCGTCTCTACTAAAAATACAAAAAATTAGCTGGACATGGTGGTGCGTGCCTGTAGTCCCAGCTACTCAGGAGGCTGAGGCAGGAGAATCGCCTGAACCCAGGAGGCGGAGGTTGCAGTGAGCCGAGATCGCGTCATTGCACTCCAGCCTGAGTAACAAGAGTGAAACTCCGTCTCAAAAAAAAAAAAAAAAAAAAAAAAAATTCACTCAGTGAGTATTTGCGTATTTGCCCTGGAAAGAATATGAACTAAGAGGCATAATGTGAAGTTTCCTCAACTGGTCTCAGTTCCTGCCTCCCTATAACTATATTTGATTTTCACTTTATGTATTAACTTTAGAACCTCATCCTTGGGTAAGAAAAAAATCCACCTGCAGATTTCAAAAAAGAATAGCTAGATATGACTCAACCATATTAGCATTTCCCGTCACAACACTAAATTAATACAATATAAACAGGATCAATGTTCTTGGTTTTAGCAATAAGTAAACAGGTAACTGGAAGATGTTTTAGATGCTTTGGTCACACATTAACAAAAGCCAAATTAGGGAACAGCACTTCACGTGAATCTGAAATTCCAACTGAAATAAAAGCCTGCTTATTTTTTAGTATCTCTGAATTCAATCAGCTACTAAGGTAAGTAAGATGATCTTCTAGGATCTAATCTCTGATCCTCTCCTCTTGTTCTTGACCATTTTCTCAGTATGCTTTTCCACTCTTCTGGTTTTACTTACCTCCTATTCACAAACAACAGTTTTAATTTTAGCTTCCATGTACCAGGTACATGTACCTTATACATGTACCATGTATAAGGAGCTGATTATGTAAGGCTGGCTAAGTTGCTGTTTTTAAATTAGCAGCTTCGGCCAGGCGTGGTGGCTTACACCAGCAATCCCAGCACTTTGGGAGGCCAAGGCAGGGAGATCACGAGGTCAAAAGATGGAGACCATCCTGGCCAACACGGTGAAACCCTATCTGTACTAAAAAAATCTATAAAAATTAGCTGGGCATGGTGGTTTGGGCCGTAGTCCCAGCTACTTGGGAGACTGAGGCAAGAGAATCACTTGAACCTGGGAAGTGGAGGTTACAGTGAGCCGAGATCAAGCCACCACACTCTAGCCTGACAACAGAGCTGAGACTTCATCTCAAAAAAAAAAAAAAAAAATTAGCAGCTCCTTGCACCCTAATTTCCTCCTTCCCCAAAGCAACCACTTTTACTTTTAGCTGATTATTTTTGCATTTACCTTGTTAACATAACTTATTTGTATTGCTAGTTTTCAATTTTTATAGTTTAATATAATTTATTTATTTTTGAGACAGGGTCTCACTCTGTCGCTGAGGCTGGAGTGCAGGGGCATCATCTCAGCTTACTGTAACCTCTGCCTCTCTGACTCAAACGATTCTTGTGCCTCAGCCCCCCTAGTAGCTGGGACCACAGTCATGCACCAGTATGCCTGGGTAATTTCTGTAGAGATGGGGTTTTGCTATGATGCCCAGGCTGGTCTCGAACTCCTGGACTCAAGGGATCCATCTGCCTCTGCCTCCCAAAGTGCTGGTGCTGGGATTATAAGCATGAGCCACTAAGCCAGCTATTTTTCTACTTTTAGCTATTAAAATGTTTGTCTTCCCACCATGGGAGATAAAAATTTAACTCCCTTTCCTGCAACCACCTCAGAGACACACATACAAACACACACCAAGGAAAGATTACATGCCATTCTTAAAAATATAAAAATCCCAAATAAATAATAGCAAAAAGAATCCAGCAATTTGTAAAAAAGGATAATATAGCACAGTCAAGTGGTTTTATTTCAGAAATGCAAAATTGGTTGGGCAGATGTGAGGCAGTGTTCCTGCAGTGCCAGTTACTTGGGAGGCTGAGGCAGGAGGATCTCTGGAACCCAGGAGTTCCAGGCTGTGTGCACTATGATGGCAACTGTGAACAGTTACTGTCCTCCAGCCGTGGCAACATAGTGAGACCCCATCTCTTTAAAAAAAGAAAAAAGGCTGGGCATGGTGGCTCACACCTGTAATCCCAGGACTTTGGGAGGCTGAGGCAGGCAGATCACCTCAGGTCAGGAGTTAGAGACCAGCCTGTCCAACATGGAGAAACGCCCATCTCTACTAAAAATACAAAATTAGCCAGGCATGGTGGCCCATGCCTGTAATCCCAGCTACTAGGGAGGCTGAGACAGGAAAATCGCTTGAACCTGGGAGGTAGAGGTTGTGGTGAGCGAGATTGAGCCAGGCTGGGCAACAAGAGTGAAACTGTCTCAAAAAACAAACAAAAAAAATCCAAAAAGGAATGCACAATTGGTTTAATATCAGAAAATCAACCTTGCAATTTACCACATTAACAGATTAAAAGATAAAAATGAGGCCGGGCGCGGTGGCTCACACCTGTAATTCCAGCACTTTGGGAGGCTGAGGCGGGCGATTGCCTGAGGTTGGAGGTTTGAGACCAGCCTGATCAACATGGAGAAACCCCATCTCTACTAAAAATATAAAATTAGCCATGCGTGGTGGTGCATGCCTGTAATCCCAGCTACTCCGGAGGCTGAGGCAAGAGAATCACTTGAATCCAGGAGGCAAAGGTTGCAGTGAGCCAAGACTGCACCATTGCACTCCAGCCTGGGCAACAAGAGCAAAACACCTTCCCCCCAAAAAAAAGATAAAAATGATGCGATCATCTCAACAGATGAAGAAAAAAGTTTAGGGCTGGGTGTGGTGGCTTACACCTGTAATCCTTGCACTTTGGGCAGCTGAGGCAGACTGATCACTTGAGCTCAGGAGTTCAGGAGGGACCTGGACAACATGGCAAAACCCCATCTCTACAAAAAATACAAAAATTAGCCAGACATGGTGGCTCCCACATGTAGTCCCAGCTACCCCAGAGGCTGAGGTGGGAGGATTGCTTGAGCCTGGAAGGCAGAGGTTGCAGCCAGCAGAGATCACACCACTGCACTCCAGCCTGGGCAACAGAGAGAGACTCGGGGGGAAGGTAGAGGGGATGCTTAATCAATTTTAACATCCTTTCCTGTTTTTAAAAAAATACTTGTTTTTTAAAGCTATAGCTGGTTTTTTTTTTTTTTTTTTTTTTTGAGATGGAGTCTTACTCTTGTTGTCCAGGCTGGAGTGCAGTGGTGTGATCTCAGCTCACTGCAATCCCTGCCTCCCAGGATAAGGCAATTCTCCTGCCTCAGCCTCTCAAGTAGCTGAGATTACAGGCACCCACCACTACGCCCGGCTAATTTTTGCATTTCAGTAGAGACAGAGTTTCACCATGTTGGTCAGGCTGTTCTCAAACTCCTGACCTCAGGTGATCTGCCCACCTCAGCCTACCAAAGTGCTGGGATTACAGGTGTGAGCCACCACACCTGGCCAAAGTTACACTTTCAACACAAATAGGAGACTCTAGACTCACAGATTAAGCTTGATTTATAAAACACTGTTATGGCCAAACTCTTGGTTATTGACACATTAAGTTACTGGTTCCAGGGACCAGGTGCAGTGGCTCACGCCTGTAATCTCAGCACTTTGGGAGGCTGAGGCCGGTGGATCACTTGAGGCCAGGAGTTCAAGATCAGCCTGGGCAACATGGTGAAACCTCTGTCTCTACTAAAAATACAAAAAATTTTGCTGGGTGTAGTAGCGTGCTCCTGTAATCACAGCTACTCGGGTGGCTGAGACAGAATACCTTGAACCCAGGGGGCGGAGGTTGCAGTGAGCTGAGATGGCACCACTGCACTTCAGCCTGGACAACAGAGAGAGTGAGACTCCATTTCAAAAAAAAAAAAAAAAAAAGTTACTGGTTCCAAAGTGTGTACCTGGCACCCAAGGGTGCTGCAGCATACTCACAGTGGTGTCCTGGGATATTTAAAAATTTTGAGAGATGCATGGCAATTCTGAACATCTGTCAGGTACTGTATAAACTACTACCTCAAAATAGTACCATGTGCATTACATTAGTTTTAATAACATCACTGTAAAGATAAATTTTTCACAGTTGCTGTGATAAAAAACAAGTACTTTTATTAAAGTGGTACAGGAAATGAGGGTGGCAGGGTATAAACTGATTCCAAAGTTTGGGAAGTTGTGCAGTGTCCAACAGGCACATATATCCAAATGAGTGTGATTATTTAAGAATGAAATTTTCAAAATCATCTTTTCCTTCAATTTATGTATTTTTTTAAACGGCTACTAAGTTTGTGACATAGGTACTTAATGTTTGGACCCAACAACCACTGTACTCAATAAATAGAACTGTTAAGTATTTTTTTTTTTATCTAAGGGTGCCATGCATCAAGAAAGTTTGAGAACCACTAATCTAAATAATCTGTAGAACTTCAAACAAGCAGAGAATATGCGACAAAGACCATGTAGGCTGTAAAGCCTGAAATATTTACTCTGGCTCTTTCCCCACTCCTGCATTTATAAAACCAATATCTAGAGTTACTATTTTCCAGGACTATAGGAGGATAAGAGTGAAATGATAGACTATAGATCTGTGCTGTCTAATACAGTAGTTACATTTAAATTAATTAAAATAAAATAAAATAAAATAAACCAGGCATTGTGGCTCATGCTTGTAATCCCAGCACTTTGGGAGGCAGTGACGAGTGAGTCACCTGAGGTCGGGAGTTCGAGACCAACCTCACCAACATGGTGAAACCCTGTCTCTATTAAAAAATAATAATAAAATTTTAAATTCAGTTCTCCAGTCACAAAAATCACATTTCAGGTGCTCCATAGTCCCATGTGGCTAACGGATACCATGTTGGAGTGCAGATATAGCATTACCATTTTCACAGGAAGTCCTACTGGACAGCACTGCTTTACTGTCAATATCTAGAGTTAGTATTTTTTACAGTCTATTGTTTAACATCGAACACATCCATAATTCTACCATTCCAAACATTTTAATTTAATTTACATGTATTTATCATCTTGTAAACATTTCCAGCCATTCAAAGTCAGAATTATACTGCATTGAACCCAACCGTTAATTGCCAAAATTTTATCATATATTAACTCCTATCTCTGTAAATCATCTCTCCAAGGTCCACCTCAAACACGGTCTTCTCCAAGAATCTGTCTCCAAAAGCATCAAATAAGATTTCCCATTTCTGTGCTCCCACACTACTTCAGAATGTCCTATAATCTTCTACGTTCTGTCTTGTATTATAGTTATTTGTGTATACTAGTTATTTTCCTTTCTGGACTGTAAACCCCTCTAGGTTTGGGACCCTGTATCATTTGTCCCCAGCCCTATCACAAGATAACGAACCCATAAGTCAACCTAAGTGGAAACTTCAATCTTAATATCCACACTGGAAGTAAGAGTCTCCTTGGTCTTCATCCACATCCTTCATCTATTAATGCCTATTAAACCTATCTGTAAAATTCCAATTGGCAATATTTTTCTCCCCTTAAACTTGAGTAAACACCACCAAGAATAGGGGCTTAAATCCTGAGGAATAATGAACAGAGGAGGATTTTTAAAAAACTGATGTGCGGCGTACTAATATTTACTTTGTTAATACTATTATATCTGCAGGAAATGAAAACTCTGTTACGTGCTGCCGGCACTCTGAGCAGACACCTTAAACCACAAAAGGCAGAGAATTTTTAAATCACTCATGGGTGTCATTTAGAGCCAAGAAAAGCTTAAGTGAGAAATACAAACAGCCGAGAGGTCCCTAGGGAAGAGCGGTAGGGGTGCAAGAAGAGTTCGCGAGCCCTAACAGAAGACAGCAAGCAGGGCGGAGCCGAAGGGGAGCCGAGAGAGCGACGGACTCGCAGCCTGAACCGGGTGGCCGGAGGGGCCCAGGTGCGGTCGGAGAAGTGTTAGGGAAAAGGAAGGCGGCACGACGTGCAGGCCGAAAAGAGGAAAAAGCCCAGGGCTCGGCCGGGGACAGAGGGGTCTACTCACCCGGCGCTCACAGAGGCCGCCAGGCTGAGGGAGCGTCCCCCACCTCCCACCGCCGAACTTCGGGAGGTCCAGACAAAACCCGAAGCCTTCCCTAGAGCCCAGAACTAAAGGGTCACTCTCCTTACCTGCGGCGGCTCACCCGCCCGACAAATTTTGTGCAGACTTGTCTGGGGGTCTACACGCTTCTCAGAGCGGAAAGTCACCGCCGCCTCTCGCCTTCACTCCACAACGCCCAGCTTGCCTCAGTGAAGTATTCAAATCTAACCGCCTAGGTGTTGCGCACGCGCAAAGCAGCTCGACGCTTCGGCTCCGCCCCTTAGGCGCCGGACGAACCACTTTTCTAAGACTGCTTAAATCAAACTAGGTTCCAAGCCTCCGTGCCAATTTCATTTGCTTCAGGTTTATCTCATTTTCGACCGAATTTCCCTTGCCCCTCCCCAGTGCAGGCCTTCCTCACAATCATGGGAGCCGCCATCTTCTTTCGATTGCTTGCTATGGAAGTTTTTGAACCTCGGCTTCCGTACAAAATGGCGGCTTCCATAACATTGCGTCACATCCCCTTGATATTACTCCCTATAGCAATCAGGAAACAGTAGGCTTCTGGGACGAGGTGGCCGAGTGGTTAAGGCGATGGACTGCTAATCCATTGTGCTCTGCACGCGTGGGTTCGAATCCCATCCTCGTCGATATGCTTTATCTGTTTTTTTCTGCTTATAATCAATGTAAATTTGCTGAGTGGAAAAAGTTGAATACTCCACTCATTATTTATTACTCAATTAATCTGGCATTATCAATCTCAAGTCTGAAATGCTTGAAATACAGTATTTGGAACACTCTGACATCACAAATAAAAGGAGGGAAAGAGACATTCGGGGAATCAGAAAATATACTGGATTTAATTCCTTTTTATATGAAGTTAACAACAGTGCATAGACTTCCACAATTATTACCATCCCATATGTTTCAATGCTGCTCTGTTCCAACTTTAACCTAGCTCCTCACTGAGGAGTTTCAATTATTGTGGACTGTTACTCGGGGGTGTTTAATACCTGTCCTGATTACGAAATACCAGGTTTCACTTCAAAAGCTACCGTGAGACACCTTACCCAGTATTTTTATTTTTATTTTATTTATTTTTTTATTTTTTTTGAGACAGAGTTTCGCTCTTTGTTACCCAGGCTGGAGTGCAATGGCGCGATCTCGGCTCACCGCAACCTCCGCCTCCTGGGTTCAGGCAATTCTCCTGCCTCAGCCTCCTGAGTAGCTGGGATTACAGGCACGCACCACCATGCCCAGCTAATTTTTTGTATTTTTAGTAGAGACGGGGTTTCACCATGTTGACCAGGATGGTCTCGATCTCTTGACCTCGTGATCCACCCGCCTCGGCCTCCCAAAGTGCTGGGATTACAGGCGTGAGCCACCGCGCCCGGCCTCCAGTATTTTTAATCTACAGGCACCGCATGTTTTATGTAAATTACATCACCATAACCCATGATGATGAAAGATATATTTATCACTTCGTTTTACGGATGAGGAGACTAAAATATTAGTTTGCCCAAGGTTATATACAGCTTCTAAATTGCAGAAAGGACAGTGTAATCCAAATCTGTTGGACACTGGCTGAATCACCCACCTATACTGTGCTGTAGATTAATAATCAGTATTTATCAGGCCGGGCACCATGGCTCACGCCTGTAATCCCAGCACTTTGAGAGGCTGAGGCAGGTGGATCATGAGGTCAAGAGATCAAGACCATCCTAGCCAACATGATGAAACCCCTTCTCTACTAAAAAATACACAAATTAGCTGGGCGTGGTGGCATGCACCTGTGGTCCCAGCTACTAGGGAGGCCGAGGCAGGAGAATTGCTTGAACCCAGGAGGCAGAGATTGCAGTGAGCTGAGATTGTGTCACTGTACTCCAGCCTGGCACCTGGTGACAGAGCAAGACTCTGCCTCAAAAAATAAATAAATAAATAAATAAAATAAAAGATCAGTATTTATCAATCTCTTGCAGTAATGGTTTATAGATTCTCTCCTCCACGAGGCTGTCTGCATTACATCATACTCCACATCCCAGCACCTGATAGTTGCTTCAGCAAGGTTTGGGCACTGAGTGTGGAAGGCAGTGGCCCCTTCTCTGCTGGCTCCAGTGGCTCCTTCCTGTTATAGATCCAAATCCGTTGGGAATGTTGATACCTCCTTGGGCTCAGGACATTGAGATACTCATCCTTAGCCTTGCTCACCCTGCTACTAGGAAGGGTTTCGGCCAGTTCCACACATTTCCAAGGGATCCATGGATAGAATTCAGTGGGTTATTTTGTTCAGAAAAAAGATTTCATCCTTATTTCCATACTCCCTAATTGAAAACACACTCTTCAAAAACGGTAAGCAACTAACTACAGTAATATTAGCCTTATCCATTATTTTGTCACCAATAGAAATAACAGATTTCTTTTTTCAGATGGAGGCTGTTACCCAGGCTGGAATGCAGTGGCGTGATCTCAGCTCACTACAACCTCTGACTCCCGGGTTCAGGCAATTCTCCTGCCTCAGCCTCCCGAATAGCTGGGATTACAGGCATGTGCCACCATGCCCGGCTAATTTTTGTATTTTTAGTAGAGATGGCGTTTCTCAATGTTGATCAGGCTGGTCTCAAACTCCTGACCTCAGATGGTTTGCCCACCTCGGCCTCCTAAAGAGCTGAGATTACACACAGGAGCCACTGTGCCTGGCGAGACATACCTTTCTAAAATTCCCTGGAGACACAGATTTTACCTTTCCTTGAACTAGGACTTTTTCTCTTTTCTCAACAGTAGATACTGTCTCTGCTCCTCTCCCTGCAACATACCCCTGACCCACCCCTCTTCTTTCCCATCAGGTCACTGCCTGGCTGGCTCCTGCTCCTCCTTCAGATCTCAGCTTAGAGGTCACCCCCATCAACAAGCCCTGCAGCCTGCAGCTCCCGCTTGCATTTCCCTCAATTAGCCCCTCTGCTCTTTCTTGTTTCTGCACCTTTGTAACCTTCCTAGATGCTTCTGTAGCCTGCTGGGTTTTTCCCCAGCACTTGCCAGGGAAGTACTGGGAACGCATTTGTAAATACATTTTTATTTATGTTGCCCATTAGTGCCACAACTTCTCCAGAGATTCCACGACCGCTCTGCAGGAATTGGGTATGAAACAAAACAAAACGAATAAAAGGCTCCACGACTGCATCATTTCCTGAGGTTTGCCAGCTTCTTGGAATGATGACTACAGGTCTATCAATGTCTGTGCAGAGTATTGGTGGATTTTTTTTTTTTTTTTTTTTCAGTCAGAGTTGTTCTGTCACCCACGCTGGAGTGCAATGGCATGATCTCGGATCACTGCAACCTCCACCTCCTGGGTTCAAATGATTCTCCTGCCTCAGCATCCCAAGTAGCTGGGACTACAGGCGTATGCCACCACGCTTGGCCAATTTTTTGTATTATTAGTAAAGATGGGGTTTCACCATGCTAGCTAGGATGGTCCACCCACCTTGGCCTCCCAAAGTGCTGGAATCACAGGAGTGAGCCACCGCGCCCAGCCAGAATTTTTTTTTTTTTTTCAATGAGGCAGTGTCTTGTTCTGTCGCCCAGGCTGGAGTGCAGTGACACTATCTCCAATCATTGCAACCTCCAACTCCCAGGTTCAAGCAGTTCTCCTGCCTCAGCCTCCCGAGTAGCTGAGATTTCAGGCGTGTTGCCACCATGCCCTGTTGATTTTTCTATTTTTAGGAGAGACGTCGTTTCACCATGTTGGCCAAGCTGGATGGGATGACATGCTGCATGGGCTGGGAAGATTATTTTTTAAAAGGAAAATCTTCAGCTGTAGAAGTTGTGAAAATGAAATGTACTGACAGAATCTAGAGGGAAAAAAAAGAAAGAGAAAGAATTGTGAGTTGAAAACTCACTTTTTTAGGCTGAATACAGTAACTCACACCTATAATTCCAGCACTCTGGAAGGCTGATGTGGGATGATTGCTTGAATCTCGGAGTTCAAGACCAGCCCAAGCAACATAGGTAGAACCCGTCTCTACTTAAAAAAAAAAAAAAACAAAAAAAAAAAACCCAGAACAAAAAGAAAAAGAAAGAAAAAAGAGCCAGGTGTGGTGGCTAGCACCCACAGTCCTAGGGAGGCTGAGGTGGTAAGATAGCTTCAGCCCCAGAGGTTGAAGCTGTGGTGAGCCGTGATCGCTCAACTGCACTCCAGCCTGGGCAACAGAGTGAGATCCCGTGTCAAAAAATAAATAAATATAAAATAAAAATCAAGGAAAGAAATATTTGAATTAGAAACACAAGAGAAACTTGTGAGAAGCTGACAGTAAAAGAGTTAGAGGCGCCATCTACTGGAGCAGCTGCAATTGCAAAACTTGGATAAAATGTTCTAATCTACAGGGATGGATGGATGTTCTAATCTACGGAGATCTCCATTAACTCCTCAAATTCTTCAACAAACCACAGCTCAAAGAAACCATTCTCTAGTAACACCAAGGTTCTTCCTTGCAAGTACTATTCTGAACTATTGCAGACACCTCAACCTCTGGAAGACCACAAGAAAGGACTGTTGCCTAGTTAAATATGTTACCAAGATATTGCAGCTCTTTTACTACTTAGTGTCAGGAATAGGACTTCATTATCTAGGGCCAGCATTAAGAGGACCAATTCTATATTTTGAAAATGAGGTTCTCTGGAAATCAATGGCCAATGTTGATTATGAAATAATGAAATAATAAAGTGTTCATTATTTATTATGAAATAATAAATTGGTCCAAAGCCCAGAGAGGATGTTATGTGTCAACAGCCCTTATATGACATAGCTCTGAAGGAAGAATTGAAATCAATGCTTTGTTTTTGTTTGGTTTGGCTTTTTTTTTTTGACATATCTAAAGTTTATTTCTTTTTTTTTTTTTTTTTTGAGACGGAGTTTTGCTCTTGTTACCCAGGCTGGAGTGCAATGGCGCGATCTCGGCTCACCGCAACCTCCGCCTCCTGGGTTCAGGCAATTCTCCTGCCTCAGCCTCCTGAGTAGCTGGGATTACAGGCACGCACCACCATGCCCAGCTAATTTTTGTATTTTTAGTAGAGACGGGGTTTCACCATGTTGACCAGGATGGTCTCGATCTCTTGACCTCGTGATCCACCCGCCTCAGCCTCCCAAAGTGCTGGGATTACAGGCGTGAGCCACCGCGTCCGGCTAAAGTTTATTTCTTAACTCTTGCAATAAAAACTCAGATCTCAGGCTCCAAGGGTTGCAAAGACTGGTGTTTTTTTTGTTTTGTTTTAAGATGGGGTTTCACCATGATGGCCAGGCTGGTCTTGAACTCCTGACCTTAGGTGATCCACCCACCTCGGCCTCCCAAAGTGCTAGGATTATAGGGGTGAGCCACCGTGCCCGGTGCAAAGACTGGTTTTGACAGGCAATGACAGAAGTAAAGTCAATTTGTTCCTTACCATTAGGTTCTCTCACTGGAGAACCATCTCTGGGAAGACAGTAATGACAGGGTCTGGAGAGGTTCCATAGTGAATCCAGGCATTCTTCTCTGAGTCTGCAACACCAACCCAAAACATT